CATTGCACGAGCTGCTGGCGTGGCAGCTGGACGTGTGCTCGTGCGGGGGCAGGGTGGGGGTACCGGGTCGCCCTGCCTCCCTCTCCTGCACGTGCTCAGCCGGAGCTGAGCACGTGTATGGGAGGGAGGCAGAGGGGGGGGGGCGGGGAGGGGGTACAGTGAGGGGTGCGTAGCGCGCGGCGCACTGACCACTGTGGCAGTGAAAGACGCACGGGACACATCAAGGCGATAGGAAACAGCGAATACCGCCTAAACAAAACTGCAACAGCCCATGCTGTTTACCGTAACGAACTAAGAAGTTGTTTTGGTTGTGATAACACTCTCCACTATATAAGAAAACCACTACACTCCGAGCCATTGTACGGGTTGCTCGCGTGGCAGTTGGACGTAAGCGCGTGCAAGGGGCAAGGTGGGGTGGGGTGGGGGGGGGTGGAGTGGCGAGTACGGAATGGGGTGAGGTGAGGAAGGTGGGTAGTATCGAGTGACCCCCTTCTCCCATCCTCACTCCCTTGCGCGTACTCAGTCGGATCTGAGCCCATGCAGGGGAAGGAGGCATATGGATTGAATCGGGCAAACTGGGGCCAACCACTGTGATATACTCTGTGCTACTGCAGGAGCTGCTCGCTTGGGAGCTGGACGTGAGCACGAGCAAGGCGGTGGTAAGAACAGTGGCGGAAGTAGTGTCCCTATGTTGCATGGCGGGCATACCACGTGCGGGGGTGGGTGCCGGTTAAATAGGGTCAGTGGGATATGATGTGGTGAGGGGATACCAGATGAGAACGGCGATTTCGCGATTAGGAGCTCGCTAGCGGTAAGGCGTCTACGGTTGCGACAAGATGGGGAGAAAATGGATCGACCGCAATCGGAACTGAACCGATTAATGTTGCATTATCAAATTGTGGTAGCGTTTTGATAGTCATAACACCCTCCACAACATAACACAACCATTTAGTGCACTCAGAACCATTGCACGGGCTATTCGCGTAGCAGCTGAGTGTGACCTGTAGGGTGGCTGAGCGGGGAATAGCTGAGGTTAGTTTGGGGATAGGTGAGGTGAAGGGGTACCATATTGGCGCGACCGACGCTCGCCTGAACAGGAGCACGCAGCGACTGCGGAGACCGAAGAATCCGTGGCTGTCATAAGATGGGGAGGACAGTAATCGATTATCCATGACCAGATTTCAAACCTTTTCATTATAAAAGTGCCCTGCGACTATATGGCGCGTTCCTACATTTATTTGATTAGAAGACACCGGTTAGGCATCATAAATGCCTAAGACAGTAGTATCGCCCTGCTTATGCCTTACTTTGCTCCTTTCTTTCACGAGTTAAGAAGTGAGGCTCTAAAGCAGTTGCATGAGCCCGGCGAAGCCGGGCTTCCAAGAAGGAGGAGAGCTCGGCGTAGCCGGCGATCCGGCTGGTATTTTCATATTTTACTTTTTTCAATAACACTCATCGATGGATTCATGAAGTTCTTCGATTGGTATGTTGTCATGGGCAATTCGAGTGAAGGTCAGGCGAAGTTAACGAGTAACCAATTAAGTGGGGCGACCTCCAGAGGCGAGTCTACCTAGGGGCGAGAGAGGCGAAGAAGCGTGAGTCTTTTATGGACACTATACACCCCTAACTGGGAGTGTGCAGAAGAGGCTTGACTGCACTGCGGCTGACCAGGTACAAAGCCCTTTGCTGTGTGCTCCAATATCTGTAAATGCAACCGCTCGATCATGAAGTGAACGGCAAAGTGAAACTATCGTTGCGTGTTATCATCACCCACGCCATTCTAAGAGAACATCAATACAGTGAAGTAGTTTCCATTATTCACAGTTTTCTTTCCTGGGCGGTGTAGAATGGAAGTATGGCATTCCTGCCTATTTTTTCTTCTACTAATGACACTAACACTGGGCGACGGTGGAGCAGTCTATGGTTGGTTTTAAGTCATTATCATAGAGACTTTGGCAAAATTCTGAGGAATTTCCATGTTGCAGATGCTCGAAACTGTGGTCTTCCTGGATCGGAGTTTGCTAAACAACGGGCTAGGAGGTACTTCACTCAATAGTACTTGATCTTGAAAAAAAAAAACATGCACCACGAAAGCCGCTCAAGAAACCACACACTGAATTGCGTAACAGAGAGGAATTAGCTCGAAATTCATTACGCTCTTCAGATTCACAGTCATATGATAGAACTTGCACAGTCTTGTTCATTTTGCCGGTGCTTCTTAGGGGGTGAAGGCTGAACGATAGAGTCTGAGCGCAGATGGAGAAAGAAGTGCCTAAAATCGCCATGTATCCGGACCAGATCTGACATTCAGCATGTGATGAGGAATTAGGATGGAGTCGTGCCGAAGTGAGTAATGAAATCTTGGGGTGGCACTGTTAACAGCCAGCTCCTGCGGGCTGAGCTGACCGCAGACATCGGAAAGTAGATGACCAATCTTTTGTGACAGGCCGATCTCACGAGGCCATCCATGTCACATCACCAAATGTTCAAGCTGACCGACAGGATCAGGTCACAGGATCAGGCCTGGCCATTTGCAATGAGATGCAGCATCTGTTGCACTCCAGTCTTACAAACGAATGAAATTCAAACTATCTTCAAAATTTGCGGAACGATTCTCTGAGCGGAGTTAGAGAGGTTTTTCTTCACTGTTTTTCTTCTTACGGGCGCGCTCACCGAAGCGTTGGCACCGGTAGCGCGACTCACAGCGCTAGATGTCCCTCGAAGTATTCTTCCTCTCTTTCGCTGGTTTCCTGAGAATGGCTCCGTTGCTGCTCTTCACAGTCTTTACGACCCTGATGTCCTGAGCAGCGCGATGCCGAGCTTTAGCCAGGCGGAAGACGAACTTGTCCCCTTCTCGGCCTCTCCAGCTTGTCGTACAGGGCTTCCGTTTCCGTATTTTTGGCCCTGGCAACGGTTGCCTTAGCGAGTCGCTTGCAGCTCTCGTAGGCAGCCAAGTCTTCTGGGCTGTCTATTGCCAGCTTTTATATGCCCCCGTCTTCTGCTTGACGACACGCTGGACTTCCTCGCTCCAGAACCAGGCTGTCTTGTCGCCTCTGATACTACCGCGCGTCTCTCTGAGGACTTCCTTTGCACACTGCAGGTGGCCCCTACTGCGTGGGTCCAGGTGTCCTGGACTGGCCCATGTGGGTCTGAAAGCCCAGCCTCCAGTATTCTTCGGCTGAGTCTATCCTTTTCTACCTTGCGCGCATTTTCCACCACCGAATTCTCCGCTCTGCTCTCACCCTCGTCTTCTTGGGGAGGTCTATGGCGATGTCTGCCAGGAGAGGCCTGTGCTGGGGGCCAGCTCTTCCCGGTAGCACCTTGATATCCTTGACGGTTTTGAGAAACGGTCTCCTCACCAGGACATGGTCTATTTCCTTTTGTCTCCCAGTGCTGTAGGTTATCTTCCTTTTCGCAAAAGAAGCGTCTGCAGATTGCTAAAGGTCGTAGGAATTGTGGCCGAATCAAAGGATCCGTTCTCCCTCAGCGTTCTTTACCCCTACTCCATTACCTCCGTGCACCCTTTCTAGACCCCTTCTGTCAGTTCCCACCATTCAGATCCCCAGCTATGGTGAGGTAGTCCTCTTCCGGAACCGATCTTATGGCCTCGTCCAGGGTCAGGTAGAACTCATCCTTTTCCGCCTCGGAGCAACCGGATTGTGGTGCGTACACGGTCAGTACTGTCCAGTACCCCTCCTTCGTGTCCATTCTCATTTTCATGATCGATCACTGACTCTGTTCACAGAGGAGACGCAGTCCTTCAGGGATTCTGCCACCGCTATGGCCACGCCATTCCGTTTGGTGTCTGCTCCATTGTAGAAGAGTTTGACACCTTCTCCAATCTCGCGGGCCTTCGCACCCTTCCATCGCGTTTCCTGAAGGGATAGACTTGGATATATTGCGTCTCATGAGGCGAGGATCCAACCTCAGAGACTCCCCGGTAAGCGACCCTACGTCGACAAAAAAGGGGGGCCTAATTCGAATTAGCTTCTTTAGTCGAGGTCGTTCACCCCTCGGTAGCCCTCGCATACTGACCATAGGACTCGGGCGAGGGTTATGCGCGCCAATTCCAGCTGACGTCCTAGCTTTTACACTGAATCATATTGCGGGCATTGTCGTGAATGGTTTGTGCGGTTCCTCCATCAGCTCTTCAACCTGGGCCTGACGCTGGTATCGTCCCCATTTTTGCAATTTTTGCAAGGCAGGTTTGTGCCTCGGCAGGGATCGAACTCGTGGCTCAGAGTGAGATTATGAGTCTACACTCTTGCCCCCTCGGTGGTATCCTTCCTTCTGGTTGCGTCCGATGCATAGCGTTCGAAATCACCGACGATGACCTCGAAGAAGGTGTGGTGAAGAAGGTATGGTCTTCTTTGTAGAACCTCTGCAATTCCATATAGAACGCTTCGAGCTCATCCTCGTCGTAGCCTCGATGTTGGTGCGTAGGCGACGAAGATTGTCAAAGCTGGAGTTGAACCACATCTTTTCATCGCAAAACGTTCAGGATTCCGGGTTTCAATTTTTGCACGATTCGATGTTCATGGCCAAGTACGTGTTGGCGAGGACGGTCACAACGCCAACGCCTCTGCTGTGGCATGTTTCTGCAGCAGTGCTTCTCCACTTTCGTATACGGCGTGTAACGGGAGATGCCTCCTCGTCTCGGTCAGTCGTACTTGATCTTACTGGCTTGCAACGTTCCAGAACTCGAGCAAATTGCCAAGGCCCCCCTCGCGACTTGGAGAAGTACAGCATCGTCATCCCACTCATCAGCGACTTGAATCTCCGTTGGCCTTGTGATTCTTGCAACTCGCTCAAGCGGTCCCAGCCGACGTCGCCCTGTCGGTGGTTCCCTCAGGTTCAGGGGAATGAGGCCCATAGTTGTTACTGTTTTCGGCGAGAAGAAATTTAACCACGCGTAGCTCGCCAGGCTCTGACGTGGCACCCTCCGCATTGGTACGTTTGAACGTTTGGATCAGTAAAAACAGTTCACCCCCACGCCACGTTGAGGCTGCGGTTAGGATTTGTGGGGGATGAGGGTGGGTAAGTCAATCAAACCTGTTTGAGAGAAGAAACATTAGCATGGAAAGGACAGCATTCGGTGCTCGGTTCAAAGGCCAGATTTGCATGCACCTTACTTTCATGAAGCTTCTTCAGCTATAGTTAAATGGCGATTGCTGTATTATTATTAGTGTAGGTTGTCTTCAAATGTCACAAGTGCACAATCAAAGGACTATACAGCTGACGATGAGGCAAAAAGTATGGACTACTCAGATGACTACGTTCTTGATCCAAACAGTACCGAGATCAAAAATATCAACGATCCCATGGATCGAAAGGTGATTCTAATAACGAAACGAATTTCATTCCGTTCCTCTATTTTGATGAAGGCCCTCTGAACTGCAAGCTGTGTAGCAAGGTTATGCCAATAGTATCCCGTTCCAGCTTCAATTAGGGCAGCCGATAGTGCTTAACCTGTTCCAATCCATATCCGGAGGGGTGCGACTGCTCTTTCAGTTGAAACTGGCGAAGAATGCATTCTCGTGGGATGTTTCCATTCAAGAGAACGTTACTATGTCATGTGCTGGGCAAAGACATGACTACAGCTAACCAAAACGGCAACATCCCTTCAAAGTCGAAATGTACACTCCCCTCTGAGGGTCCTTGTCCATGCCATGTACGAGGTGAATGTGCCCACAGCTGCAGTAGCGTATCACTTTTTCCTTCAGAAAGTGCCCGAGAAGGGGGCTGTAGGAGTAGTGGTACCCGGTGCCGCTTCATACTCCACTGGTTCTATTTTCGAGGCGCTGCACTTGTAGTGATGCAAACGTCTCGCAACGAAAGTCGTACTGTATAGAGCAACTAGAGGTGAAAGTGGTCAGGCAAGTAGTGGCAGCGGCGTAGACTACTTTCCAGCCCCATTTCCCTGTACTTCTGAAAGGGAAAATGGCAAGTTACTTCAGATGCGGACTGTTCATTTTACAAAAGGCAGTAACCGGGATCCACGTAGGTAATTCACCGTAAAGTGTACTGTTTGTCTTCAAAGTGTAGCTAAACCGCGTACAAATGTCGAACGCAGTCACGTTCTCCCATCTTCGAGGTATGGAATCTGCCTGCACAGTGGCCTATACCACCTACCTCCCATTTATCTCTCACCCTCCTGTTCTGTATCCACCTTTATCATTTCTATAACTATAGAGCGCTAAGGGTTTCGATTTTAATATCCTCTAGCTATGGTCTGCTCCTCCTTTCCACACTCATCTCTGTGGTAGTAGCTCATATATTGCTCAGAGCCAACAGGACTCATGCCGTCTCGATGGTTTTTTCTGCACTCTTATTTCAATCACCGCATGATTTTGTGATTCTCAGCCCTAGAGCCCGCAGGAAGCGACAGCTGCAGCTGCTATGTGAAGGTCGAAGGGTTCCCTAACGAACTATCGGACTTCCTATCTGTTCAACTTTTAATCGAAGGAATACTCCTCTGTTGTCATAGTCTCTTTACGGATCTTGAATTCAGCCCGAAGAAGAAAGCATCCATTTCTCGCAGGAGCACAGAATGTATTTCCCTTCAACTATGAGCTTATGAAACGGTAGTGCATATTAAGTCAAAGAGGTATAATTGCAACTAATGCGCTCTACTATAAAATAGGTTAGAAAGGGGCTTATTCAAGCGCCACTTTTCCACTTGTCACATTTCTCCAATTCGCTCACCGCTGGCTCACACCGTAATTTTTTCTACCTGTACACTATGAAGGGATTTGGGATCAGGCTCACCATCGCTGCGGATTCAACAGGTCGTGTATGAGAAGGTCTGAGTAGGTGTCGTAAACTGCGAAACAGGTAATTTAGTCAGCATCGCGAACGGCGCAATTATTAGCCATTCTTTTCAAAAAGCGTTAATCAGGTCCTTCATGACGGAGGCAACCAGTAAGGGGTCAGCTCACCGAGTGAAGCGTGCAATACTCTGCGCTAGCCAAATATCGTTAGCTGTAGTAGCTATTTGTAAAATGTTGCAGATCATGGGAGGCAGAGACGCTTTGATGGGAGAGTTCCCTTGGAGTGTTTTCATAGAACTCGACGACAGTAAGCATCGCATTATTTACCGCGTTCAAACTGTGATTCTTCCTGAGATAGCCAGTGCAGATCGAAGAAGTACCACAAAGAAGAATGACAGGGTGACTTCGAAGTGGTTCTTCTGTCTGTGCCACATCAAATATTCAGGATCATGCGGAGGTACACTGGTGTCAAAACGTCACATAATTACGGCAGCCCACTGTTTCTGGAAAATCATGACAAATGATGAATGCAGGTGGTTCTTAGCACTATAGTTGTAGTTGAGAGGAAAAATATTGTTTTCATTCTTTATTTTCTTGTTGCAGCATTAGTGACATGTATCCAATAGAAGGCGTGGTAGGGAAAGCTACAGCCATGGTTGGTGGTATTTGTCGCAAAGTAGACAAATCTGTCAAGTGCACCGTTAAGCAGCTCGGCACGAGAATCCGAATAAAGAGGTAAGGGTCCTGATCGAATGAGGCTGATGTGTAGCGTAACAATATAAACCCAGGACGAATAGGTATTATTTCGCTGTCAAGTCGCGAGTTCAACAAACCTTTCTGGAGCACGTCACGTATTCTACTTAAGAATAGCAATTATACAGTTATTAGCAGTTCTTGCGGTTAACAGCAGTTACTGTACATTTTTACATGTAGGGGCGCATGGGCGTGCAGACCTGCCCATGTGCTGCGTTTTTCTCCTCCCAGACAGAACTGGTGGTAATACGGCGACTGCAAAGGGATGAGTGTCCCCGTTGGCAGAAACCGACTCAAATCTAACCCCTCTGACTGCGCACGAAGTAGTTGGCGCCAAGTACCCTACTCTACCTTCGCAATAATTTTAGCACTACACTTAGTAAATATAGTGAACTCGAGACTTGACATCATGTAGAATAATCACCTTTATCCAAAGACACCGTGGGCAGTGGGGACCAGACGCGAAAGAGAAAATGCATTACTACATGGTAGGTGACAAAGCAACAAAAGAAACAGCTAAAAACGCGCTAAATGGGTCCCTTATCCCGCTGTTGCCTTGGAATATTGCGCGAGAGAAGACACATCAAGTGGGAAGAAGAGAATGACAAGGGACAAGAAATCTGCCAGGCTGGCGAATCCGGCACATTATTATACCCGGGGCCCTTGCTGCGCACATCCCACTTCACTCTTTTGCTTTCATGTCATGAGCAGGTTTTTAACGTTCTTTTCAGTGAATTCCACTTCTGCTCAGATATGCTGATAAACTCTGCTCCCGCTTCATTTCGATTTCTTAAACCGCATCAGCTCAAGCTTCCAATCTTGTTACTGCCACAATTTTCCCTTTGCATTTCGTGCTGTAGCGACACACTTGGGATTGCGCTTATTCACAATGATGGGGCAAAATGCGTGATTCCTATCGAAGTTTCTATTCATTTCTACAGAATTGCCTTTTCAGCGCCTACTACGACGGTTTTTTCAAAGAAAGTTGTAGTGGAACAAGAGGATATTGCATTTCTTGAGTTGGAAAAGAATGTTCCTGATGGCGTCCATCACGCTTGCCTGCCACATCTGCACAATGTTGATGAAATGGATCAATCAACGACGAGGCTTTTCTCGTCCGGATGGGGAATAGATCGTCCGCACATTTCTCCGCTTAGTTACTTTGGTTGCTTTCATTATTCATTCAACCTAAACTTTTTAGCACACCGAGGCTATGTCTCGTCTGCAACTCCAATGCTGCAGCACGTCGAACTAGGTACTACATTGATTTTTCATACTTTCCCTATCAAGAACACCAGCTAGGAAATGCCACATTCGACACTCCCTAATTTGTGAACTAGGATTGTGCCCTTGATAGGCCTTGATAGGTGAGACAGCACTCATACACTCATACCAACATAGCATTCACCACGAGTTCAAATTTGAACTTCACGGAAAGGCAAATTATCGACACATCTATCACTTTCAACATTTTGCGACAAACTGGGCCATCTGAAGGGGCGTATGGGCACGATAAATCTCCAAGACGACAGGACTAATACGCCTAGGAGGACGGAATTCCGCGACCCTGACAGGCGCTGCATAACGCCTGTTCCAGGGAAGTTGCCCATATAAGGGCGCTATCAAGCACAACTTTCCACGTCCGAAATCGCCCCTTGGCCTCCCGCTCCCTAACATGGACACTTTTTCGACGCTCTAATTGATTCACTTGCTAAGCAAATTATGAAGCGAAGGCATTGGTATGAAGCGGTCGTGATGCTGCATGGAATATGAGTACACATATGCAGCCGTACCTTCGGTAGCGGTTATTGGTAAGATGCCTTCGGGAAACTCGTCCAAAATTGATTACTAACACAGCGAGAACGGAGCCTCCAGGATTTTGACCGTTTCATTCCGTTCTTTCACCATTTCCCACTATATAGCGCCCTACTAGCATTTTAGGTCGAGCACCCAATCATCGTGCCAACTGCCTTTAAGTGGTCGTTTGCATGTCGCTAAATAAGACAAGCACCTTTCGCAATGTGAAGATTTAGGGAACTTTCAAAAACATTTGGCGATACGCGCTCAAATTCGCTTCTCCGTTTACTAGAGCAATATTTTTCACATGCTTTGGCAACTGTGCCTTGTTGTAACATTCAAAAGCTTTTAGGACTGAGGATGACTAAGAAAGAATGCTATGAGAAATCACCTTCAAAATGGCCGGATCTGTTCTGTACACTGGAGCATCCGGAGAGAAACGTTTGTCAAGTGAGTAGTCAGTTTTATGTACTTTCACAGATTCCGTAAAAGTGATCTACAGTGGTTCCAAAACTACCTTGACCTCCCATCGTTTTGAATGCGGTACTGTATGCAGTACCTCCGGAAGGGAAAGCATCCAACGTAATACTAGTAGCTTAACTCTCATACTTTTGTTACAGCATTCATGTCATCAGAAGGGAAAACACCCCATTTGGTGATCTTGTTGAGATTCTTGCCGGCGGAGCCTGCACACGTCGCCCCTTGTATATAATTTGCTGCGTTCCTCTCACTGTCCGGAACTTCGGTTCTATCTGGAGAACAACTTGTAGAGATCGTGTGAAGGTTGGGATGGGTCGGGCATTTGACATCCAAGTGTTCCATAATGCGAATGCAAGGAGGCCTTCTCAATGTATTCCTCTTTGCTTTGCCTACATATCAAAAACTGTCCTTTCATCTCCGAAAAGATCCTTCCCATGTGTGTAAATGAGTTCACAGCTGCAGTAACGTGACACTTTTCCGCCTTCCTATTTTGTTGTGCAGTGTGAGACCCGGTATGCTTCTACAGAAGCCTTCTGTGAATATAGTAGCAGACACGAAAATTTATTAGGTTACAGAAAGATAATAATAGAAGTAGAATATTTTGATGCCGTGGCGTTGGCCTTGACGTTGTGGGCACGAAATCGGGATCTGGCAGCGACGATGAGAGAAATCCTGGTCAGCGACGACAACGAAGATGGCAGCGGTTTTGGCCGGCACCAGGAGAAGGTATATCGAAGTCACTCTGCTTAAGAGGGCCGCCCTTTTGTAGCAGACCCCTGGTCCTCTTCACCACCTGCGCAATTATCTTTCCAAGATAGCATGGCTGTGTCCTGGGATCCCCTGATCTCCGCACTCGGACTTTTTTCGTTTCATTCATATTTCCGAGGAACTTTAGCTCCTTAATCTCTTATAAATATTGTTTTCCAGACAAAACCACTTCTGAAACGCTCAGTGAACAGTTAGCAATTCCTACACTTTTAAGGGGGACAGTGGAGGTGGAGTTACAACATCATTCAAAGGTAGACACTATTTGGTTGGAGTAATCTCTCGTGGAACTCCTTGCGTTGATTTGATGCAGGGAACAATACCAGGAGCACAGGTAAAACTCCTACGCAACTAGTGTGGCAAACGAAGATTTTTCCTTTCAGGCACACACTGATATTGCCTTCTACACCGCTAATATTGACAGAATGCTGAACATGACCATTATAAACCGCCAAGCAGAATGGCAAAAAATAAACTCGAAACTTACGTCTAGACCAAATAAAACTTAAGAATTTCTCATTGTCACTTTCGTTATCGTTCGAGACTATTTTTTTTGTTTTTAGCTTTTATGGATCCAGTTTTATTAGGTTGTCCCAAAAGTTCGTGGACATTTTTTGAATCTCGTATCAGATTCTTTCCGCAGCCATTTCGAGATCCAGTTATGTGGTCTATGGGAAGTGTGTGAGGTAAGCATTCCACAGCTTCTTCACCGTCCCTCGCAGTCGCTGTTCTCATATGAAAAAACGGTAATTCAACTTGCTATCTAGTCCTTACACTTGACTGGTCCCAAAGCACAAATGAGAGAGGGCCTCGCTTCCTTAGAAAAGTTCTGAAGTTCGGTCAAAATTTTTCTCATGAGTTGACCAGTACTCCAAGGGGAGCACATGTGGGTACTGTCTACAACTTTTCTCCCGCTTCCGCTGTACGGGCTGGTTGAACAGCACTGTAACTGGATATGGAGTGGGTGCCTCTAGGTGAATCACTCCTGGGAGCGCCAGCGGCTAGATCCCCCAGAAAGGGCAGAACCGATCGCGCAATCCTATCAATCCAGTAGGGCGGTGAGGCTGTGTATGTGGTGGGGTTTCTTTCTCCCTTCCTGGATTCTTCTTCTCAGCGCTATGGTAACCTACGAACCCTATTGTAATCAACTGCAAAGGGGGTTGAAAATCGCTAACATTTGGTCCCAAAACCGAGCAATGTTTGCCTACTCCACCACAGCTCAGGGTCACACATTTGGAAAACGACACTGCTCGAGATCCCGAAGCTTAGCTGGGGAATTCCACCACAGTCTTCGTGTAGCCCTGACTTAGCTCTTTCCGATCGCCATCTAAACTAATCCCACAGCGGCCATCTTCTGGGTAAAAAATACGATTTTTGATAGTACCTCAAAAATGACCCAGCTGCCTTTCTGGGCACAGAACCAAGAGGCTTCTGGAAGCAGGGCAACCACACATTGCGTAGTGATTGGCAACAAGTTGCCAATGAAGGTGACATATATATAGTTGATCAAAATTGCTTCCCACTGGAATAAACTTAACAATGTTCGAAGGTTCCACGAACCCTTGGGACAACCTAACATTCTTTATGCTTTGTTGAGTCAAAGCTCAAATATCGTTACGCCTCTCGGCCAAGCCAAGATGGAAACAGTGGCGGAGGTAATCAAACAGTTGATACTGCGAGGGTAAGGACGTATGAATTAAATTGCTGAGAAGAATTCGCTCCAGAAATCGGTAATCTAGCGATGGAATAGCCTAAAGGCTAGTGCACTAGAATTGGTGAGGCTATGAAGAGATCCGAGAGAGGTGAAGAGTGACAACAAGGGATATATTCCGAAGAGGAATGTTTGAACAAAAAACTATCAGTGTCTTCAGAAAGATTTGGGAATACACTTAAGATAGGGTTGGGTAACAACCGTCACTGTGAGGTGGAGCGAGAAAAATGAGTGGACTAGTCACGGTGGGTGAAGCGCGCTCGAGAGACGCAGATTCTCCTGTGCTCGAGATTTCGTTCCAAGACTGCCTAGATTGTCCTAGCAGACGAGAAAAGAAGTGTGACCAAAGGCTCGTCCGAAATGGCAAAAGTCCGTCATTAGCCTTTGAGCCAAGTCCATTTGAATACAGTACCTCCATACTCGAGCCGAAACGGTAAAAAGAAAGTAGTAGATCTCAAAAGAAAGAGATGCAGAGTACAAGAAAAAAGAAACTCATCTTCAATCTGCAAAAAGACAAGTCAGAAATGAATTAAAATGCATAGGGAAGGTTATCGTCTCAGGTCTCAGGCTACGTTTGTACTTCGCAGCGACCATTAGCGAGCAGCAGGGTGTTGAATGCTAGGGAAGTACATGTATCAATCTAACGACCAGCAGCATCTATCACAGGGTACAACATCGTGATGTGTGAGGTGGAAGGATTAGTACGGCCCCCAGTTAAGAGACCCCTCTCCCTTCCAGCTCTATTTGATTGCTCTGACGAGAAGGACTAGATACGTCACGGTTCGCAAGAGCTTGCGGCCGCACTCGGATCCAAGCGCAAAATGACGCTGGAGCACACTTCTG